CAACCAATTTGTCGCCGCCGCCATCCGGCGCGGGCAGGAGAGGTTGACAATAGGGCCGGATAGATGTTAGGTCCGTTCTCCCCTTAATTTAGGGAATAATTGATCTAATTCAACAGCAATTTTATCAAATTCTTTCAACAAAGTTTGATGTTGAAGTGAACTGTCGGAAAAATAATTAATAATAGATCTATATGATGAGGAAACAGTTAAACGCGTCAGGAAGGAACACGTTTTCCTCAATGACATGCTATTTCAAGTTATTTCCGTTGCTAGATACAATTTGGGTTATTACATAAACTCTCAAATTATTACACCTCATAGAGTTAGAAATAATGATAGGTACCTATTTGATCTAATTACAACTTATTTTTTCCTGGTTTTGAGCTAAATATGTCTGTAACTTTCGACGTGAATTGTCTAAGTATTTTCAAAAAGTAGTACTTACTTCTTAATAGCGTTAGACGATGATTTAAAGAGGGTGACTGATAGTGACTAGATGGTCAATACGGAGATCGTGCTTTAGGGCGTGCCCTGGGGGAGTCCTACGGCAAGCATTGGACTACCACAGGTTAAACGTTCATGTGATTTGTTTAATTTAACTTGGTTCTACCTAATATTATTATAGATTTGTGCTATATTTTTTTTTGTCAAAAATAGTTCAATCAAAACAGATTGGTTGTATCGAAATTAACGTGAAATTCCTGAAAAGCATTTAACCGCACAAGGAACAATAAAAATTCTTTGTGCTTGTAAGCAATTAACTCATAAAATCAGCTCTTTTCTTCAACCCAAATCGAGCGATTAGCCAATAGCACGCACTGATAACTATTCAAATAACGTTTATGAAATATTCGATAGATACATCCATGCATAGTGCAGTGGTACCAATCTATATAAAGGAAAGTAAGATATTCATAAAATTATCGGGATTCGAACCCAGAACTTGTAGGGTACCATTACCATCCCACTGCTCTGCTACTGACCTATCAACGTCCCGATCAACTCATGCCTTTCAATCATATGTTGTTTTAAATATAGTTTATCTAAACACCTAATACTTCAGTCGAACGTCACAATGACTACGCGATTGTCACACTACTTTTACTTATGAAATTGTATGGACTCGTGTATGTTATAGGTAATTGAAGCTAGAATCTGATGATCTCGTAACATACTATCATGCAAAGAATCTTTAGTATTATTATGATCACTCGAGCTGAGGTACGGTTGTATCTTGGCGTTTCAACTGTCGAAACACGCCTGCGTCCGGTTTTTAATTTGGGGAAAGTTTGTACGAGCAGGTATATTACGATATATCAAAGATATTATTCCGCGCTGTGCTGTGAGTTCTCAAATAATCTAAAATTCTGAAACTGAACAATTCGCAGGTGCTTTTCGACACGCTTACAAGTATATATCATGCTGATGTAGAGTTTGCTAATGTGTTGGCAGAAGGATTAGCAACTAAAGGATGCATCTTCATATCTAACCAAACCCTTCCTCTGTCCTTCCAGGTGCAATGCGCGCGCGCATGCCGGTGCGTTGCGGCGGCGCGTGCGCTGGAGGCCGACGCGCGCGCGCTTCGGTACTTGGACGACGTCGTAGCGTTGCTACGGGGAGAGGTCCATGCTGCGAAGAATGCCAAGAAGTGGCCTTTTGCGCTGGGGAGACGGGATCCAGCAAGGAGCTACGTTGTTTGATGTCAGGTAAGTGTTTATGTAGTAGATTGTAGACCTTTGGTACTTGGATGATGTCGTAGCGTTTGCTACGAGGAGAGGTCAATGCGGCGAAGAATGCCAAAAAGTCGCTTTTCGCATTAGAAAGGCGGGGTCCAGAGCACGGAGTTATTTTTAATAGTAACGTGAAATGATGCGACGAGTAGTAATCAATTAAATTGGATTTGATATGACATGCGGGATGCGGTATGTTGGGCTCTATGTGTCATTAAATATTCTTGAACACAGCATGTCTTTTAAATTACCAGAATTGTAAGAGATCTTTAGAAGTTAAGCTAAACTAGGCGGTTGAATAAGTCCGGCACCAGGGTTTATCGTGTCGTTGCATAACTCAGTTTCCCACTCGAAAAGAGAGAGAGAGTTAAACTAGAATAAGTAGTATCCTTTCAACGCTGCTCTCATATCTGTTGCCTCCGAAGATATTAGATAGTAGTTGGTAGGTACTAATGGCAGCACATCCACCTATCAATTTTAGGGATCAACTTCATTTGGTTTTTCTTAGTAATTGTATGAAAAACCAGTACAAGTTGGTCTCTTAAATCCTACTAATCCTACTAATATTATAAAGGCGGATGTTTGTGTGTGTGTTTGTTACGACATCACGCAAAGACGGCTGATTAGATTGACATGAAACTTTGCAGAAATATAAAAGGGCATCTGGAATAACACATAGGATACTTTTTACCACGGAAAAATGTCTCATTCCCACGGGATCACGCATTTTCCAATATTTTTAAAATAGGTGGCGTGACTGAGCCGATTCGCGTTTTAAACGTTTTCGCCGAAAACTAACAGCGACATCTCTTGGCGAGTAATGCTTTTTTCCCGCGGAATAATAGGTTGCAGCGGGTGAAACCGCTGACGGGCAGCTAGTAGATAATAATGATGATTTACTAGCGATAGTAACCTACCTATCTACCTGTAGCACCTGTAGTCACCCCACAGGCCCGGTGTCACAATGATCGATGGCGGAGTGAAACTGCAGTTAGCGAGTTGATCGACGACATTAAACCTCGGTTAGATTGCAGGTGAACATACTGACGTGGAAGTTACAGGCGTTAGACCTGTCTAATACTAACACGTAATGTCCGTGCTGCGGTATTTTTATTTGCTGTTAAACCGAAGTCTGTCATACGTCTGTCAAGTGCATACAAATTTCGAATTCCTATACTAAACGCCGTCGAAACGCAAGTTTCATCGCTGCGTTGTTACTACGTTGCGTTATTTTAACGTGTCGGTTTTTCGTATGGAGAATTTGAAAGTATGCCTGACAGACGCAATCGCTAGCGCTGCGCTAAACTAATGCTACGTTATGTGTGGGCCCCACAGGCCCGGTGTCACAATGATGGATGACAGAGTGAAACTGCAGTTAGCAAGTTGATCAACGACATTAAACCTCGGTTAGATTGCAGGTGAACATACTGACGTGGAAGTTACAGGCGTTATACAGACAAGAATAGACATCCGGGTTTTACTTGTCAATGTTCTGGCATTTTTTTCTATTCGTGTGGGAAACTGAGTCGAACAACGACCCTATGAACCCTGACGTCAGATTTGCAACTGCCTACTACAAGTAGCAGATCTCTGTCGTGGCTATGTAACGACAGCTGTCTCTACCTGTCTAATGGACTATGTTTAATGCATTTCTTCCAAAACACGGTGTATAAATAAAAGTACTACCTACCTGTAGCACCTGTATTCACCCCACAGGCCCGGTGTCACAATAATCGATGGGGGAGTGAAACTGCAGTTAGCGAGTTGATCGACGACATTAAACCTCGGTTAGAATCCAGGTGAACATACTAGCGTCGAAGTTAGAGATGTTAGACAGGCAAGAATAGAAATGGAAATTACTTGCCAAACTATCTCGGTAGATGGAGCCCTGCCACGCGTTAGTGGCTAAAATAAACTTGGTTAATACGAGTATCGTAGGCTAAGATTGAACCTCAGTAACCCAGATGGTAAAAGCGTCGCCGGCACAAATGGCGAAGGCTGCAGGTTCAAATGATCCCTGCGGTGGAAAGTTTTGCAAACTAACATACATACATATCACGCCTATATACCTTGCGGGGTAAGCAGAGCGTAAACGGCTGCAAAAAACGGCCATTTACACCACGCCTGACAAAGGTTTGAGAGTCTTTCAGAAGACTGTGTATCAACATAATGACAGGTTGTCAGCTTGTCACCTAAAATTGCGAAATACATCAACTATCCAATCCCTTAGTCGCTTCTTAAGACACTAAAAATATGGGTTGATGCTATTCTAAGCTAGCAACACACGGCAAATTAACGAACGAACAAAATCATTACTTAATAACTTGCTAACGATGAAAAATGATCACGATGTTAAACTAGCCAGTCTACAAACAAGGTAACAGATGATCGAGTTAAAGTGCAGTTAACGAGTTAGATAGCGTCTAACAGGTGCTCGGTAGCTGTATACGGTAGGGGTGATGGTGCTAGGTAGATACAGATCGTTTATTAATAACAACAAGTTACAGGTCACATATACACAATATTGATTATTTGTGTTCAACGAAACGTGTTGCGCCGACCCCAACAATTGGGATAAGGGCAGGAAGATGATGATGATGATGTAAAATACAAAATAATCGCTTACATACATTATTAAGTAATATTACATTAACTATTAATTTATTTCTCATTACGTATTTATCTTATTATTCAAAATATTTATTAAATATTTATACTGGTGAAGCCATTTTTTAAGTTTGGCCTTGAATACTCCCGGGGTAGCTGCATCTTTCACGTCTTGTGGTAAATTATTGTACAGACGAGGACCCAAGACATATACGGATTATACGGATGGTGTCGCAAGATGGTCTGCGTTGGCGTTACTCCGCAGGCTGTGAGTAGTGTTATAGTAGTGTGTAGAGCTTTAATATTTTCACAATCAAATGCTGATCGGTTTGTTAGTCTTTAGTAATTGAGAACTACCCATAATACAACGTGTTACAAAACAACAAATTAAACCGAAAAACGTCAAGATACAGACTCATGAAACTGAACATGGTTCAAGTTGTCACTTCGTATTTATAGAAAGCGTCTAATATAACAGGTGCTCTGGTTGGTAGCTGTGTGGGGTAGGAAGGAGTAGGAGTGTTGGTGCTGGGTAGAATTGGCTGTGTGTTTAGGTTAGAATAGCAATGTACCTACTCTAGCTTTAGACAGTTTTAAATGTTATTATTTAACAACAAAAAACGCGGTAATATCAAAGTTGAAAGATTCATCAGGGTCCGCTAGGCGCCCGTAGCTCTGTTGGCAGAGCGGTGTGACGGTACCCCACGGTTCCGGGTTCAAGTCCCGGCGGTCGCTAATAACTTTTTAAATTTTCTGCTGCTGAGACGAATCTAACGACACCTCAATGCCAATATCCGTTTGGGCTGTATTCCGAGACAAAGATTTTTCTTCTTTAGATACATACATACACACATGCCCATATACATAAATACTCTCGAAAAAGATAACCCTCCTTCTGAGCCAGTTGAGTAAAAAGAAATGCAAATAGGTAAAAAGCAGTTTTAATTAATATGACTTCAAACGTTTTTTATCCAAGTTGTCAAATCGTATGACTACAGTTACATATTCCGAATATAAAATATTATCTACATACCTACATAGATGAAAATATACTGGCCGACCAAATGTAAATTTAACTCAAATTATAGAGTCTGTTTCCGAAAATTGTGACTGTACAAATTCAATTTTAGAGTATCCAATGCTGCAGCTATGGCGATTTATTGCATAATGAAGAAGTATAAAAATTGCTAAACTGTGTTGTGTCTTTGATTACGAAAAAAATAAAATTCGTTATCTGAAATATGTCTTGCATTCCACCTGCGTGTCCAAATTTTCAATGTGTATGACAACAAATAGGTAAAACTGCAATACTTACGCCGTAATGTACTAGTACTCTCCTGACTTTGTCGCCAGTAAAGTCCACAAAATAGAGGCGGTCTTACTCGTAATGATCTGTATGTAAATGTGGTACGCTCGGGGACCGGTAATTAGCGGTACCGGTACCGTCCCGTCCCGCGCCGCGCGTCCCGGAATAGGACGCTCTCTAAAATGTGGAACTCTTTTAGAGCTGTGCCTATTAGTATGCAAAACTTGCCTTGAGGTATACATGTTGTTATACTTGTGTTTTGTTTTGACGCCGCTACATCTAATGAAGTAACTGAACTAGTAATGATGTAGATCTACATCATTACTAGTTCAATACGTAAATGGGGTACGATCCGAAACCTATCTATAATTAGAGGTAACACTCTGTAAATTAGAGCTCGGTAATTTGTAGATCCTTTTAGACCTTTAGAATGCAAACGTGTGCAATGAAATGATACGTGTTTTGTCACCAGTAAAGATATTATGAAAGCAGCCATACTTGTCTGAAAATATGGTACCGATAATTAGCAGTAACGGGGCTGATACTAAAATTCGCGGTGAAAATACGCGGTGAAAATACGCGGATGCTTTTTCAGAGTTTTAGTATGAAGCCTGACCTATTTTCCTAGTTTTTCTATCTATCTATCTTCCATTCACGCCAATCTCGTATCGGCTTATATAGCCATGAAAAGTCTTCCCTCAGACACTGAATGAATCGTCTGTCACAGACGTATGATACCAATGTTGATGTCTACCTTTTTGCCTGTCGGTGCACATTTGCCACAAAATAGAAGCTAGAGTCTGGCCAGCGAGTCTTTGGACGTCAAATAATTCAAATATTTCAAATGGCAACACTAGAAAAAGAAATGTCAAACTATATGTCAGATCATACATAACCTCTTCTTTTAAGGCTCCTACACACCGGGATGCCTCTGCGTGCACGCAGACGCACGCAAGGGTTGTAATGTATTGAGTTGTATGAAGGGTGCCACACCGGGATGCGTCGCGTGCGACGCAACGCAACGCGACGCAGAGACGCAGCAATGGCGGCTTGCGTGCGTGCGTGCCCGCAGCAATGGCAGCCGATGATGACGTTGTAATGTATGGATCTCCTTGTAAGATATCACACCGGCGACGGACGGACACGCATCGCTCTAGCGCAGTGCGTGCGTTTGCAAGGTTGCCATATTTATAAGCAGTGTTACCAAACCAAAAAATTGGTAGTTACCAATACATACGTATCCCTGTTAATAATTTACTGCTGGTATTTAAGGCAAGAACTATTTTTCATCTACACCCGTGATCAACACGATCTACCTACACTAATATTATATAAATATAAATGGTCCTGAAACATTTTCAATACTTTGTTCACTTTGTATGGCTGTATAACTTTCAATAACAAAATGGCCGACGCGTGCGTCTGCGTGTGGCAGACGCGACGCACGTCAATGTCAATATCAACAGTGCTGCCAGATTGCTCCGTCGATTTCGTATGGTTTGGCTTTTATTTGGGGTATTTTTTATAATTGAGTTGGTTGGCCCCCTTTTCTTTTAATACTGAGAACGGCATAAAAGTAATAATTACTAGTATCTGGATGCAAAAAGTAACATTTAAACACGTTGGTAGAGCGATCGTAAAATATCACAACATTTTAGATGCACAATGATCACAGACATCAATATTTAATAAAGCAACGAGTGTATAGGTTGAAACCGTCCGAAAAGGGACCGTGGATGCAAAGACAAAAAACAGGGACAATCTATCTTCAAAAAGGACGGAAAACGTTCTGTATCCGGACGTTCTGGCAACGCTAGTTTTCAATGGGAAAGTTTTAATTAGTTCATCTAGCTTCTAGTAGATGGCGCTGATGGCGAATCATGGAAATGCTCAGAAGCGATTTCCCTTAATTAGGGGTAATATTTTTTTAGTAAACAGTATGCTTTATTTTAGTATTTTGTAGAAATTATTATAATCTAAGAAAAACAAACCGTAATGTTGCAAAACCGCTTATTTACGATACCTCAAATCGAGGAAATACGCCAAATCTACGCTTTATAAGGACTTGCAGTTGAGAAAGCGGCAACACATGTTTCGTATAATCTGTGATGTCATGGTGGTTAACCTTTGACATTTGACAGCTGATCCCTTTATTTTAACAACGCCATCTAGCTTGGACTCGTGAAGCAGTCAGTCCAAAAAATCCCCATTGTCAAACTCAAATCAAGATGGCGGACGCGTGCGCGTGCGTCGACGGAGACGCGACGCAACGCAGCGCATCGCTGCGTTTCCGGTGTGGCAGGGTCTGCACGCTACGCAACGCGACGCGACGCAACGCAACGCGTCCGGTGTGTAGGTGCCTTTAGTTTTGCGATGCGCGTTTTATGTGTTTTTTTGTAAAAAATATGCCGAAAACCATCAAAAGCAGTGCTCGAAAGGTGTTGTATACAATGATAACCAAATATGAACGACAGAAAAGCGATACCAATCGAGTTATTAAAGAAAATCTACGACTTTTGGATGAAATTCTATCGGCTACAAGTAAGTACAGCCAAAACATCTTGATACTTACCACATTTAAATAAACTAGAAAATGGGTATTATTGCTTTTGAGTACATAATTATGCTTTGGTTCTTTTTATTCATTAAGATCGATTAATCAAAATTTGAAGCCATCAACAACAATAAATTATGTGATCCACTTTTCAGAAAACACAAACCAGTAAAACAGAATAGACAAATTAAACTCAACTGAGAAATCCAAACAAGAGGACAGCGAGATACAGGCATAATCCGTTGCTACAACTGCCTGTTTAAACATAATAATAATAAAAATTTGGAGAAGATAGGACATTTCAATATATCTTTTCCTTTCTATTTTATATTTGGACTTTTCTTTATTGTAAAAATGTACTTGTAATTTTTTTTGTTTAATATCGTTAATACTATTGTATTATTCACATATTGTTAACGTATGAACTGCAAGGTTAATTCTGGTGTCAGAGTTCCAAAAACATAACTTCTGTTTATTTATGGAGACAGTTCCCATGATTTGTCGCAGGAAAACAGTGAAATCCGGTCGATCAAGTATTTCCATGCGGATGCATGGTAATATGCATTTATTTTTAAGTTCATTTTCATATCAGTGTGCATGCTCATTTCTATGCGCATGCTCATTTCCATACGCACGCTCACTTCCTTCCGCATTTATATTTCCATGCGCGCAGAGGGACTTAAAGCTCCGAAAAGTCGTAGTAGGTGCGTACGCGTTGGCATCTACGCGCGTGTGGTGTTTTACGTCAGTGACCTATATTTTTGTCCATGAAGTTGACGAATATGTTATTTGCCAAGATTTTTAGGCCAATGGTGAATAAATCGATGTATTTCGCAATTGTCCCGCTCATCGCGATGGGCCTAGGAAATTATTAAAATTAAAAGAGGGTTTATATAACAAGGCGAAAGGAGGTCAAGGTACTCATGAAACTGAACAACTTTCCCCATGGAACATGGGACGAAATATGACAAAAATTTGGACCTCTCAGAGTAAATCAATCAGCTGATCTGCGATTTTGTACGGGAGGTCCACATATTTTTTTCATATTTCGACCCATGTTTCATGGGGAAAGTTGTTCAGTTTCATGAGTACCTTGACCTCCTTTCGGCTTGTTATACCCTTTCTGTTACTCTCGGTAGATACATCATACATACATAGTAGGCAAGGCAAACACAAACTAAAGAGCAGAAAACAAAAAATAGTAAGTATCAAAATTGTTTTATTGTAGTTTTTCAGTGTTAACATGTGAAAGATTTTTAAAATTGGCGCCATTTCCGTGTCCAAAGACTCGCTGGCCAGACTCTACATGATTTTTTGAACCATGGACGTATAAAAGGGCGGACAGGCCGGACAGAATACCAGTTATGTCAAAACTGAATAACCGTAATGGCGGCGGATAAACTTGTGTGAGTGAATTAGGGTTGCCATTATAGGATTTTTTTTACCAATATAACACAGATATAAATACGATAATATTGAATAATTCACTTGTCCACATACACATATGTCCACATACATACATACATATCCACGCACATATACATATTCTCGAAAAGAAGGAATGGTAAAAGTACCTTTCTTGGTACTGCATACACAATACAATGAAATCCTTTCTTTGCAGTATACATATCCTTGTTATCAAAATGTGTACCTACTGCAAATGACACTAAATTTGTGAGGAACCCATTCTTTGTTGCTATTGCAGTTCCTTATAATTTCAATCCAGTCATTTTTCCAGACTTCATTTGTTTGAGAAAATCTAATAAAAATAATTAGGAAAATATTACGGAATGATTAATATAAATGAATAATGAATATGAATTCATAAAACTACCCATCATCATCATCCTAAGCTCAAATAAACCCACCCACCCA